ACTTATTTAATTTATATAAGATTTTCTTGCGTTTAGCTGTTATGATTTCTGATGAGGTTTCAGAATGTTTGTATCTATTTGTTAAAAGTTTATCGACATGTAACTCGTTTATGGACGTATACAGTGGATCATATTTATTACGTATTGATTGATTATACATTTTCTTTGGTTGTTCCCAATCAATAAAGATTATATCAATATTCCAGTACTGACACATAAATCCAAGTACTTCTATAAACTAAATTGTGAAATATTAAAATCTTTATAATTAAGTGATTTGTAGTCAAGTATATACATATATAATATATTTAAAACTTACTTTAAAGCAGAATGTTATTATAGTAAAGATTTTTATGGTTTTTTCATTAATATCTTCAAGGAGCAATATGTATGGTATTGTTTGTCCCTCATAAAATATAAATAAATACAGGCACAAACTAATCACACATAGAAGAATTATATTTCCTATAGAACTTATAATGTAAATAAAAAACCAAATTAGTACAAATATATTAAAAGTGAAAAATAAATATTATTCTTTCTTTTTTATTATTTTTACTTTTTACCTTAACATTTGAATTAATATTATTATCTTTTATAGTAAATTTAATTCTATAATGTAATGTTACTTCTGCAATTTTACTAATCTGTTCATGTGTTAATTCAGCATATTCAACAATCAATACAGGTGGGAATATTTTATCTTTATCTTTCGTATTTTGAATATTGATACTGCAAAAAATGTAATGATAACAAAAATTTATAAACTAGTAAAGAGTAAGTTTAATACTCAATATGTTAAAAGTACTTACATAATATTCAGAGTTTTTATATAACGTAATATAGATAATTCATCTACTTTTCGAGCTTTACTAGTTGTGAAGTTTGATATTTTAAAACCACTGATGTTGTCAACAAAAAAAAATTTGCGTACTAACTGCCAATTTGATATTTCATTAGTATTCTACAACATAAATAAGATCATATATATTTTAGAGCAACTTTGTAAAATAATGTTTAAAATATAACATATCAAATATTTGATTTAAAATTTTAATGATTATATAATTATTCATTTTTTTACCTGATTAATGTTCTTAATGAGTATAGGTAATGCATGTGTTAAAATTTTGTCATTTTTTCTAAATGTTAAGTAAGGAGACATAAACTCTACTTCTGCTTGTATTAGATCTTTAACTGCAAGTTTACATTTTTTCTCAAAATTAATACCAAATCTAACATTTTCTAATAAATTACATGGAATATTAGGTGTACCCACAGATTTTAAATTACCATGTAAAGAAAATGTAGCAATTTGTTAAAAATGTTATTTACATTATTATACTTCATTAAACTGTACTCTTGTGTAATTTGTTTGCTATTTAATAGAGCTGTAGTTTCATTTTTATTATAAAATAACCATATATGTAATTTTTGTCCTTGCATAAACAACATGCATGCCATATCATTGGTATAAAGACTTAGAGCACACATATTAGATAAATGTTGACATGCTAATTTGTCTTTTTTCTAAAAATATCATTAATTACTGTAATATCTCTTAATAACCTTATTTTTGTACTTACCTTACAAAAATATGTAGCAATTTGTAGTTCATTTCTGAAGTAGTAACTATCTATGTTTTGATTTTCAAACTTCACTTGAAATGCAGTTTTTAGATTTTCTTTATTAAGAAAAATACTTTTATGTAAACAATGATCTTGTATCTGTGCATAATGGTAGTTTGTTAAATATACATTATTTTTATGATAATTGTAATCAAGATTTTTGCATGGCAAACATTTAGATCCATCCAAAAATAGATAAGTATTATCAGGGCAAGGCAGACAGTACATAGCATCTAATAATGTACCACTTGAATTCCTGTCTACTGTAAAATGATTAGAATAGTGTAATTAACAATAATTTAATTCAATAGCTATAGAATTCAATAATTTAATGCCAATATATTACTAATATACAATTCCAAATAGATAGGTTTAAATAATAATATATATTTTTGCGTAATTTGCTTTAATTATTACTTTGTACTTCATTAGTGGCACATTTACACATTGCATTACACGGCACACAGTCATTTCCATCTATCGTTACTATTGCGTTATTACCACAAGGTATACATACAGGATAACCATCCTTGAAACCAATTTTTTTACTAAATCTATTGCATATACATCGTAATCCTGTAAAAGAAATTATTTTGCACTTGTCTAATATTGCAGGTAAAACAATTTCAAACTTACGATCAGCGGATAGCTGCAGATTTTTGTTAGCATCACATTGCACGCAGGAAAATGATACAGTATCAAAATATTCATCATTTTTACATTTTGATGGTTGAGAAAGTTCAAATACTTCCTTATTTGTAACAGCAATTTGGATAAAATTTATATTATAAATTAAAGAATAAAAGACATTTTTTTTTACGAAACAAAACATTTTCACCGAACACCTTATATTTGTGTACGCGTTTTATTACTATAGCAACCTAGAACAACAGTTTGTGGGAACTCGTGGAATTACAAATATAAAATGTAATATATATACTTCAAATATATCTTTACACGGGTTAAATATTAGAGAACTAGAAGATGTTATCCTTTCCGAATTGAGGTCATTTGCTGCCAAGGCTATACTGGAATCCATCATTCTGTCCGTCGTAAATGCTTCAGTTGAACGTTTTCCACAGTTAATCATACATATATTATTATTTACACAGTGTTCAGTATTCTTAATTATTATATTTACGAATGATATTAATATCTTTTCCTATTTTTCCTCTGTTTTTACGTTGTCGGATGTTCTAAGTACTGTTAAGCTGTATAATTTCAATCAGTTCACTAACAACGGAATAATCTAAAATGATCACGTGAGGGGATTTACCCTGTATACTTGATTATATTGTATTTATGTAACATCTGATGTATTTGAGAGTTGAATTAGAAAATTAGAAAAAAAGAAACGATCAATGATCCTTATATAATTTATTCTTTCTTTAGCACTGACGCCTTTGTACGCCTGAGGAAAACTCTCACCGTGTATTATTAGTACTTATATGTAGATATTCTTATGCACTGTTTCTATCACAAGTATGAAGTATAAAACTTCGAACAAAAAAGTGATTTGGTTCATTTCATAAAATTTAGAAACAATAACTTAACATGTAAAAGTGTTTTATACATGGTGATGAATACACAGTGAAAGTCTTACTTCTGATAGATCTGCAGTAAAAGGGTTAATTACGCCTACTTATCAATACAATATTAATCACTTTACGTTTTCTATGTTCTTTATTTTTTATAGTTTACACATGAATATTTTGCATAATAATTTAATAATTTTTATTAATAATATGTGTTTAATGTAACTTGTGATTTATAGTAACTAAACCAGGGTAGGGTGTCAATGCTTCTGTTTCGACATAATGTTACATCGATTGATATGTATTCAAGTTCTTTATAGCAGTGAATCTATAAATAAGTAGAACTCATAACATTGATCATAATTACAAAGCATATACTTACATTCAACGAATATGACGAACAGTAATAGATTAACCTATGAGGATGCTTGCAGAAATAATGCACTACAGCGAGTTGCATCGAATCGTGACATGGCACTAACATAAACACAAGGCTCTAACGCGCATGTCTGTGAAAATGAGCGGAAAACAGGCGGGCGCGCAATCCCCACTACTTTACGGCCGTAAACTGTCACCGCTTGAGGGGAAGTTTTAATGTAGATAGATAAGTGGTTTTTAACCAGCCGTCGGTAATGTAGCCGTCGGTATTGTTTCTTCTTTTTAACACAGGTTTAGTGCATACATATGTAAGCATCGTACGCCATTTCACATAGAATCGTCGCCACTATGCGATTGTATTAGATCTAGTGTAGTGATAAGAATTGTTGCGACTTACTGTACGTGAAGGTTACATGACACGGATAAGCAGAAAGAATGAGAGGGAATACTAGTACGTGTGTGTGTGTGCGTTTTGCAGTAGCAGCACATATTATGTATATACGTTCTTGAATGAATATTAATTTTATAAAAAATAAAAATAAAATAACTTAAAA